AGACCAGCAGTTTGAAACCACCTGCCGCTGCGCCGGAGAAAGACATGGCGTCCTACTTCCCTAAAGGGTGACAGTCTCAGAAACCCACCAGGGCAGTTCTACCCTGTCCTCTCAGGTCACTAGGAGGTGCCATCGGCTTGCTGGCACGGAGTGTGGGCTCCAGATAATTCAAGAGTCAGATGTCAGAGGTAAAACCAAAAGCATGTCACGAAAGAGAAGACTCCTCTATCTTTACTTGGCAACACAAGCCCTACAAGCCCAAAGGGATTCACTAACACACTGGAAAGATTGCCCAGGGTGATTTGTTGTTGCTCAGTGCCCTCAGATCGGTTCCGACTCATAGCAATCCTCTCTCCAACAGGAGGAGGCATGGCCTGGTCCTGCAGCAGGCTAGGTTGGCGGCCGCTGAGTTCGGTCTCTGGGGCCAAAGGAACACACCTACCGGGTCTGGTTTGCAGGCCTGTCCTGCCACTTTCCTGGAAGGGTCCTGCGGGTCCTGGGGACTGCCTTTCTTTTCAGGGAGAGCACAGGGCTTGGCCACTGAAAGAAACAAGGGACAGCAAGGGGCGGGGTAGCACAAGCGATAACCAAGGTGACCCCAGCCAGGAGTACCCCACTCCCGGAGTGACCTCAGGCAAAGTCTCCCTCTCTCTGGGCCTCGGTTACCCCCTTGTCAAGTGGAAAAACCAACTAGATCGACTTAAGGATGCTTCTAAGTGTCCAGCCCCTACGTTTAAGCTCAAGAAGCCTACCCTGGCCCATTCTCTAGATGGTCAAAGTGAGGCCCTCATTGCCTGGGGCCACTCCCCCCAAGGTCAGGATGGTACCTGGGCCATGGGCGCCCTCCGATACAATCCGGTAGACCTTGTAGGGGTTGGAGATGTCCAGTTGGCTGCGCTCACGCACCTCACAGAAGTCAGCACTCTTGTTGAGAGCGCAGCGGAGGCGAGTCTTCCAGGTAGAGGGGTCCTCTTTGTCAGTGCCCTCCAGGTGCTTGCCCTTGTACACGGCCCAGGCCTGGGGGTGGGCAGGGGGACTTGGAGAGGAATACCTTGAGGTGGGGGCCTGAGGCCACGGAGAGGGAAGAGGGCCCACCTTGCCCCCCACTCACTTTCCATCCATCCATCCAACATATCCTCTGAGCTTCTTCTG